TGAAAGAAGGTTCCATACCCTGAAAGCCAGTGGGCATAACAGATTGCAGACAGTATTCTAGAATGGATGGTAAGGGGGAGAACGTGCTTCTGGGCTCCTGGAAGAAAAATGACTGATCATAGTGGCCCAGCTTGGGTTAACCAAGAACAAATGACATCAGCATAGTCTTTACTTCCTTATTCCATGGTTCATTAATGTAGGAAGTCTAAGGAAGGAAATACACAAGACAGGAAATCTTCACTGTTCCAAGATCATTGGTATAAAGGCCACTTGAGTAAATCCCCTTATAGAAGGAAACCAAAATTTCATAGTAAATAGTGAAAAAAAGATATTTATTGAGATTTTATGTGATTTGTTTCTTTTCTCTAACTGCTTGTAGAACTTTGTTCTTCTGTTGGGTTTCTGAAATCTTAACAATTATATGCCTATGTATAGATTTTTTTTTGATCAAGGCTAGTAGGAGTCCTATTTGCCTCACTTATCTGTATGTCAAGTTCTTTTCCCCTGCTTGGGAAGTTTTCTGCCATCACTTCTGTGAACAGTTGTTTTGTGTCATCTGCACTCTCTCCTGTTTCTTCATTGACTCCAATCAGTCTTATGTTATTCTTCTTTGCATCGTCTACCAGCTGCTGGATTGATTTCTCGTGTTCCTTTACAATTTTAAAGCAGTTTTTCTTTTTCTGGTCACTAATTGCAATCTTTTCTTCTATATCTAAAATTCTGTCCTCACATTGGCTCATTCTGCTGCATAGACTTTCAATGGAGTTTTAATCTCCTGGAAATCTGTTTGCATCTGTTTTATGGATTCCATGTGTTTCCTATGTTGGGATTCTATCATGTTCCTCAGCTCCTCTCTAGATTTATTAATCATGTCTTGCACTATGAGCACAATCTCTGCTGTTATCTGAGAAATTATGTCTGATTTCATTTTTTCCAGATCCTCTTTTGTTGCCAGTTCAGGGAGTTCAGGTGGTTGAGTATCAGAATTTCCATCTCATTTCCCTTTGGGGTTGCTGCAGGTGATCTGGAAGTCTGGTTTTGAGACTTGTTTGCGTCTCTTCTCATTTCGATGTTGGTGTGGGGGGCAGGGGGATTCTCCTGGAGCCTGCATTGCTCCTCTGTGCTGGTGGGGGGTAGTACGGTGGCCCAGAAGCCTCCTCTTGTGCTCTGGGAGCGGCTCACCTCCTCTGTGCTGGCGGGGGTCTTTATTGGGATTTTAACTTAGAAAAAACTTATGAAGTTTATTTTTTTAAGTTTATTTTTCTTGTGTATAATAACTGTATTTGAGCATTTATTGAATGACAACTTCTGGCAAATGAAAATATGGCAGTAAATAAAATAGTTTCTGCTCTCGTGGAGCCTGTAGTCTAAGGGAACACAAACATTTACATATATACATAAACAAAATAGTCTGGCTACAGATAATATGATAATTGCTATGAAGAAAATAAGGGTCACTTGATAAAAGAAGCATGCTCCTAATAAGAATTGGAGAGGCCTCGGAGGGCTTTAATTCAAGGAATGACATCTGACTTATATGCTTAAAGGTCTACTTGGCAGATATGAGCTGGCTGTGAAGGCAGGAGCAGAGGCTAGAACACTAGATAGAAGCTGTTGTGGGGCCTAGTGAGGGTTGTGGCCACCAGGTTAGTGTCAGATGGAGCTAGAGGAGAAATGGAGTAGAGCAAATTCAGGTTATATTTTGAAGTTAGGCCCAACAAATTTATTTTTGTTTGTTTATTTTTTTAGTACCAGAGATCAAACTCAGGACCTTGCTCTCACGAGGCAGGTGGCAGAACCACTGAGCTAAATCCCCAGCCCTGGCCTAACAAATTTATTGCTATTCCAGTAGATGCGAGGTGGGCAAAGACAGAGGCATCAAGAGTAACTCTTGAGATTTTGGCCTGCACACATGGCTGGCTTATGCAGCTATTTATATGTGAGCTGGAGAAGACTTCTTAAAAAACAAATCTTTTGAAATCAAGAGCTGTTTCCAGGCCCCTAAGTCTGAGAGGCTATTAAACACTCAAGTGGAGATGTCAAGGGGACAGTGAGCGACAGGTCAAGACTGGAGCTGTGTATTTAAGAGTGACCTGCATGTGGGTGATATTTAAAGCCAGAGACTGAATGGGATCACTTGGGAGAGAGGGATGTGGAAGGGGAGAGAACCAGGGCAGAGCTCTGGGCAGCCCAACCTTTGGAGACAGAGCCTGGGAGAGGAGGCTAGGCAAAGGGTCTAAGACCAGCCAAGTCTTAAAATAGAAACAATAACTACAAAATGGGGCCAAGGATTTAGCTCAGTGGTTCCAGCGCCTGTCTTGCAGGCAGAAGGACCTGAGTTCGATCCCCAGTACCAAAAAAAATGCCCCCAAAACCCCAAAACAATAACTACAAAAATGAATCAACCATCATTTTTTGCTTTTTTCCAGTGAAACTGTATGGTCCTATTATGTGAAGTTTGTCACTTCAGATTTGATTTCACAGCACAATCATAAAGAGTAAAATTTTGGTAAAAATATTTGGGGCTTTTGTTAATCTTCTCAGGTGTACCTCTCACTCCTTTGATACTCAAATCATTCACTGGAAGCCTCTTTTTGGTCCTTATCCACACAGATTTTCCTCTCATCTGATGCTGCATTTCCTTACACATCAATGGCTTTGCAAGAATTAGGGCAGTTCCCCAAAGTTGGTTTCTTAATCCTCTTGAGATCTTGCTTAGATTACAAAACTGGCTGTTTCACTTTGCCATCAATTTTATGTTATTTTGCATTGGGTTACACTGACAACTACAGTAGAGCAAGAGTAATGGCCAAACACTTTGACCCAGTGGGCAGGGATGGAAGCTTGGCCTTAAGAGGAAAGGGCATGTGGCTAGTTTATTAGTGATTGATTTTGCCCTTGTGTTGTTCCAGCATGACACTTAGCTGGAATCCTGCCACTTCCTGTAGACAAGCCTGAGAAACACAGATGATCCCTGGCCCATCTCAGAGAACTAGTGACTGACTGGACAACCAAGTTTAAAGTGAATGAATCACTGTCTGGCCATACACATTCCCCTGGGCATGACTCTCAGTTCTACTGTCCACTTCAATGTTGGTAGTAAGACTTAGGTGAGCATAAAGATTGCATGCGTCTCAAACCGTCAGAAGACATGATGCCAAAATTGGTACCCTGGGTTGTGCAATCGTGATTCACAAAGGTCTTCACGTTGATCTGAATTATGTTTCTGTATCCTGGCAACCATAAGAGAAAATGGAAAAGACTCTGGCCCACTGGGCAAGAGAGGATCGTGGCTTTAGAAGGGAAGGATGGGGCCAGGGATTTAGCTCGGTGGTTCTGGCGCCTGCCTCGAAAGCACAAGGTCCCGAGTTCGATCTCCGGTACCAAAAAAAAAATAAAAATAAGAAGGCAAGGATGGCCAGGGATTTAGCTCAGTGGTGCCACCACCTGCCTCGAAAGTGCAAGGTCCCAAGTTCGATCCCCCATACCAAAAAGAAAGAAAAAAAAGAAGGGAAGGATGGTAAGCTAAACTGAACATGGTCAAATTCAGTGAGGCTAACTGAGATCCTTAGTTTAAAATCAACTAAAATAAGATAGAGAAGACAAGGCTTAAATGGCACATTAAAAAAAAAAGTTTGACATTATAGGTTACATTTCTCCAAGTATTATTTCTAGAATGAAAAGGCCATAATCTCATGCTTTTCTGCCTGCAGGAGACTCCACTCTGGTGTTTTGAAGTTAAGTGCTCCACTTGACATCAAACGAGGAGAGTGCCCAGGACTGTGGGGGAACAAGGAGATGGATTTGGGTGTGGTTTTTTAAACTTTCTATGAGTTAAATCTCTAATATTTAATTGGGCTGCATCAATAATGATTTTCCCATTTCTGGAGCTGTTCAAGTTAGGTAGCATATAAGATTTCTGATATTCAGTCATTTTGACCAGTAAGAATGCCAACTTCATATTGTTCAACCTCATACTTGGCAGAAATGGTAAAGAGTGAGCCTAGCAATGGTGATATTTTAAGAGCAAGGGACAGAAGATGGATCTAAAACTAGGTTACCCAAAGGAAGAGAAGGGTGATAGTAGAATGAGAAGTATTGGCTAAAAATCTAGAGAAACAATAGCTTCAGTTATGGCTAGATCTAGGAGCTTCTTTCACTTTCTCTCTGTCTCTGGCCTTCTGTCCATCTCAGACAGTCCTGCCCTTTGTGGTTGGGCACCAGCAGTTCCAGGCTTATGCGAAATCAACTTAACAACGCCAGCTAAGAGTCTCTCCTTACTCATAATAATTCCTGGAACTGACTCTCATTGAATGACCTGGCCCATGCACCCAGTTCTGACTCAGAAATTGAGCCCAGAAAGAGGATGTAGAGTTGCCAATCAGCTTGGTCTTGTCTACAAGCCTGGAGTCCAGATGAGGGTGGGTGAGAAGACAGGGGGTTTGACCAGTGGGCTGCACTGAAGAAAGAGCAGCTTTCCAAGGGAAAACAAAGGTGCTACAGACTCACGCGAAAGATGAAAAGGACCAGTCAACTGAGTCTGAGCAGAAGGAGCCACTGGAGCTGATGGGAGAATGAGCTAGGTGGATCTGAGGAACAGGAAGAAGATGTGTGTTTCAGTTATCCGTTGCTGCAAACAAGGCACTGGACCTGAGTTACTAATCATGCTCTCTGTCCCAATTCTGTGAGGTGACCACACTCAGCCAGAAAGTTCTGTCCCATGCGATGCTATCTGGTTGCCACATGCAAGATGGCTCTGGCACATGGTGGGCAGTCAGCGCTGCTGGCTGGGGGCTCAGCTGGGGCTGGCCCAGAGCTCCTCAGGTTCCTCCAGGCAGTCTCCCGGTGTGGCTTCTGGTTTCTTAGAGCACAGGGGCTGGGTTCCAAGAGAAGAAGAACATGCTAATCTTTGTAAGTCCTCAGATTGAAAGAAGTTCTAGCATATCACTTCTGCCACATTCCATTGGTCAAAGCAATCACAGAGCCAGCATAATCAAGGGGGCCCACGTAAGAAATGGTGGTAGCCATCCTGGGAGGTTGTCTAGTGTGGGGAAACTGAGGCTGGGCCACTGTAAAAGAAGAGTGGTGTGTGATGTTATTTGAAGGCAAGAAAGGGCTAGATCAGGGGCAAGCAAACTATGGCCCTAGACCAACTCCAGCTCACTTCCTGGTTCTGTAGATAACATCTCATTGGAACATAGCTACATTTTCTTTTCTTTTCTTTTTTTGGTACTGGGGATCGAACTCAGGACCTTGTGCTTGCAAGGCAGGCACTGGACCCACTGAGCTAAATCCCCAGTCCCTACATTTTCTTATTTAGTGTATTGTCTATGGTTGAGGTGAAGACCAGAGTTGATTTATAGCAACAGAGATGATAGGACTCATAGGGTCTAACATACTTACTGTCTGGCCCTTTATAGAAAAGTCTGCCAGCCCTGGGCTAAGGCATGGAAGCCTTGTAAGTCTTGTTGAAGGCTCTGTATTTTACTCTAATTGTGATGAGAAAGGCACAGAAGGATTTTTAAACCAGTGAGCCACATCATATGACCTACATTTCAAAAGATCCAGCCTGGGAAATGATTATAGGAGGATTAAATGTGGAAACAAGGATACCAGTCAGCAGGCTATGGCAATAATCCAGATGAGAAGTGATACAGTGGAGAACAGAGAGAAGCAAACAATTTTGATGCATGTATTGAGAAGAAGCCTTTAGGACTTGCTAAGTCTCTGAATGTGGGGATAAGAACAACAGAATCTTGAGCAACTATGTGAAGGATGGTGCATTAACTGAGAAAAGAAAGATCTGGGGAGGAGTATGTTGGGAGAAAAACACCATGATTTTGTTTAGAACATATTAATTTTGAGGTTCTAAGCTGTTAAGTACTTGAATCTGGACCATGGAGTATAAATGTAAGAAATCATCAGCAAATAGATGGAATATCCATCAGTTTTCTGTTGCTATAATGAAATACCCAAAGCTGGGTTCTCATGAAGTTCATTCAGCTCACAGCTTTGGAAGCTGCAAGTCCAAACATGTCATGGCGGATGGCCTTATGGTAGGCATGTGGGTGAGAGCAGGAGATCACATGGTCAGACAGGAAGCCAGAGAGGCTGGGGAAGAGGCCAGGAAGGCTTGCCAACCCTCTCCAAACTAACCACTGTCTCACAGGAACTATATTAATTCCTTCCTAGGAAAGCAGTTTCAATGGTTTCCCACTAGGCCTCACCTCCTACAAGTCCCGTCATCCTCTGACATTGCTGCTTTCCACATGCTTGAGGAAAATCCACATCCCAACAAGAGTAAATGGTAGCTAAAGCCAGGGGCCCGAAAGGGATGCTTCAGGGAAATGATGTGGAGAGACTCCAGGGCCTGTGACAACTACAGGGCCTCAGTGGGAGGGCGTTGAAGCTGGAGGGAGCTGGAAGACTGTGCCTGGGTTTCAAGCTGGAAGGAGTGGTCCCTGTGTCAAATACTATGGGGTGCTGAGGGACGGGTGGACAAAAAAGTGACCACCAAATTCAGCAATATGAGGTCTCTCTAAAACCTTGACCCAAGCAATTTCAGTGGAGGGGACCGGGGATGTGGGCAGATGAAGACAGCAAATTTACATAGAGCCTAGTTGGAGAAACTTTGCTGGAAAAGTAACTGGTCAAAACCACATATGTCCACTACAGCCTCATGGTTTTTAAAGTCCCTTTCAAAACTGAGGAGATTGAGTCTATGAAGCCCCTGCTATGTGCCATCCTATTACTTGTCTGTGAGAATTTCTTCTAGTGGTGTATCAGAAAGCTGGATGAAATGCAACCAAAATATGTATGCATAGCTTCAAGGAAATACACACACACACACACACACACACACACACACCCACGCACGTGAGTATGCACGCAAAAGAGAAAGATTACAGGCACAGTGAGGTAAAGTGGAGATTTTTCAAATGGGTTTTCTCCACATTGCAAACCTAAAAGGCCAGCAGATTCATTTCTGCTGAGTGAACACACAAGCTCTTCCTTCCATGCTTTCTTAAAGAAGCTTGTTTATGCAAACTTTTGAAATTTGATTCCAAATATAAATGTGTGACCCAAGGAATAAGCAGATTTTTGAAACCAGGACATAAGTGAATCTTGTAGAATACAAAGTGTCATTTTTGTTTCAATATTTTGTTATTTGTTTCTGGAAAACATTTGGTTTCTCATGCGCAACCTCTAGAACAAGAAATACTCTTGCTATACAGAAAGTAGTGCTATGAAAAGTAATAATATTTAACCCACACATGGTGGTGTTCAGCTGGAACTCCAGCTACTTGTGAGACTGAGGCAGGAGGACCACAGGTCAAGGGCAACCCGGGGAACTTAGTGAGACCTTGTCTCAAAAATGAAACAAACAGGGCTGGGGATTTAGTGCAGTGGGACCCCGCCTGCCTTGAAAGCACAAGTCCTGAGTTCGATCCCCAGTACCGGAAAAAAAAAAAAAGAAAAAGAAACAAATAAAAAGGGCCGGAGATGTGGAGATGTAGCTCAGTGGTAGAACACTGGTGCAGCATGCATGAGGCCCTGGGTTCAATCCCAGTATTGGAAAAAAAATTAAGCAGAGTATAAGGAAGGCATAGAGACATTGTCATATTTAATTCCACTACACAATGTCTCCCAACCTTCTCTGACCACAAACTGTGAACTCTGAGCCACAGGCTGTACCACTGTACAGAGGAGCAGGCTGACCCATTAAGGTGCCTATCTTCCTGAGTCTATAAAAACCTGTAGACACCATCATACCAGGAGCCATACTTCCGTCTGTGCTCAGGAACCAGATCAGAAGCCCAGCTGTGCTACTTACGAAGTTGTGCAATCCTGAGTAACTCGATTAACCTCTGTGAGCCACAGTTGCCTCATTTGTCAACTGGTAGAGCTACTTGGCAGTTGTGTGTTAAAAACTGCCAATGTAGGCAAAAGTCTGCGTGCATACACTGAGTACAATAAGTGGTAGTTATCTCGAAGAACAGCACCTGTGAGTACACCAATCCTCATCAAAAAGGCCAAGCTATATGTTCAATTTTTTTTTTTTTTGGTACTCGGGATCGAACTCAGGTCCCTGCGCTTGCACAGCAGGTGGCAAAACCACTGAGCTAAATCCCCAGCCCTTATATGTTCAAATATTAAGAAGAATCCCGGATCTAAGTTATCCTATGTGATACACTGGATTGTCTCTGTTAAGAATGATGTCACTGTGCTGGGGATTCTAAAGCCTGCAGCATAATTTTAAGCAGTCTCTTAAAAAGAGTCAGGGGTTTTAGAAGATCATCTGTTGACACAAAGTATCTCTTGGAAGTGGCACTCCAATGGCTCCATGCTCTCTGGCCAGCCCCAAAGTTCTCGGGTTCATTCAGACTTGTTCTGTTTGCCCAAGTTCTTCTTGATGAGTTCTCTTCAGAGAGGAAGGACTTCTGCTCTTGCCTTCTCTGGCTTTGAAGACATCACCGTGAGAATTTCTCTTCTGCAGAAATAACTGCAGTTCTACTTTGGAGCAATCTGCAGGTTGGCTTTAACGATGCCCAAAACCTCATCTTAGAGAAGAGAAAGTTCTATCTCCATGCTCCGTTCCTATCTTGGTGTGAACTTCTTTCAAAACTCTGCTGAGGAGTGGCACTAGGGCTGGGATGTCCATCTTTTTGGTCTCAGTCTAGCTGGTGGAACTGGTTGAACACCAGAACATACAGGATCCAGAAGATGAGGAACTTCCACGGGAGGGCCCTGGAAGTCAGCCGTGCCCCAGTGCAGACAAGCTGGCTGTCTGGTCATCTCTCATCCTCTTGGAGAGAAGAAACAGCAGCAGATGTTCCATCAGGCCACTTAAAAATATTATGGGTTTGTTGCTGAGGAGAGTGAGGAAGATCACTTTAGATTACCTGTCTGAACTGCAGCAATGTTGTTTGTGCTCCATGCCACATGCCCTTGGTCTGTCTGGGATTCCAGCTGTAGCCAGAGTGGGCATTCTTCATGCATTCTGGGAGTGCTCAACACAAACACCTGTGCAGTCCCTCAACTTTGCCACTACAGGTTTTTAAATTTTTGTTAATGTTAT